CTCGGTTCCCGGAACCGCCGAAACCTGGTGTAATGGTGCGACACGAAACAGCCAGCTCGATATCGTCCACATCGACGAGGTCGACGAACAAGTTGAGGCTGGTGAGGACTTCGGAGGAAGCCTCGATGGCGGGACAATCTCGGGAAGATGTTGCGCGAAACTTTGAAGAGCTCATCCAGAGCGATCAGACCATCCAGTTCACGCTAACGCCCGAAAGCATGCGAGACATCGACGTAAGTTGGATCTCATTCATTTAACTAGTGCCCAAAAGGCTCGGATATTAACTTCCAGAAACAGTCTCAGTCAACGCGGTCCGCCGGTAGCGCCATCCTCTCTGTTAAAACCAGGAAGAGCCAGGATTCCCGTCGCGACTCAGACCAGTCTCGATCATCGTCGTCTAATCGCAAGAAAGATGCCAAGAAGGACAAGGATGCCCATTCGCAGCATCCCTTGCCCGAGTCGAATCGCAACAGTAATAACAGCACAGCATCCGGCCCGATCCTGCATGCAATTCCACAACCCCCACGTGCGCACCCGCCGCAAGCGAGAGATCCGAGAATAGCCCGAGAGTCGGTAGCTGATTTTGCCGACTTCATTCGCGCAACGGGTCCTACTGGCATTAACACTGCCGCCACGAACCGTTCGTCAGGGCAGCAGAGCGGACTCCGGAATGTCTCCGGGCCTGTCTCCCCTCCTTATGTTCCCCTTATTACTGAGGCTCCCCGACCGCTCACAGCCCGACCGCTCACAGCCCGTGATCCCCATACCGAGGCGGACGATAACTCAGATCTCATCGACTTCATCCGACGCGGCCCACCTACCGCGGGCAATCCACGGATCCCGCAAGCAGTTGCACCTTTGCGGAGCACGCCGGACTCCGATCAGATGTCTACCCTCGAAGCCGGCGGTAAAGCTGCGGATGCCCAACTACACGACGTCGACGTTAGAAACAGCCAGGCCTCGACCGATCTCGCCAGTAACTCAATGCATTCGCTCCAATCATCGGTCAACTCGCAGAGTGCTCTGCTCAGCAAGAACAAGTCCCAACCTACCACTGCCACCGGGCGATTTGAAGGAATAGAGGAGGACGATGTGGTGATGCCAATGCCATCAGCTATGCCGCAGCGCAAGCGCCGCGGGCCTCGCGACCCATATGCTATCGACCTTACAGATGAGGAGGACTTTGATGAGGATGATGATTATCCGGTTAAGCCCAAGCGACCTCCGACAAACGAGGAGAGCTTGATGGACTTTCTGCGAAACGTCCCCCCGCCGCCGGAACCCACTGTCTCTCGCGTGGTGACCTCGCCAAAGCAGCCGCAACCGAAGAAGAAATCAAGCGCCACGAGCTTGATGTCACGATTTACTAGACGCGAAAACAAGTCGAATGCCCCTCCAAGCTCGTCCGGCAGCATGAGCCCTCAAAGCCCCGCAAGGCCTATCGAATCCCGAGGTCTCAGCAGACGCGCCAGCGCCAGCAGCGGAAGGGGCTACACCCCGATCCAAGTTCACATGCCCCCCGGCGTTGATCGATATGCACCTTCCTCCGTTAATCAAAACTCGATCAGTCACAACCCAAACATGCCAATGTCAAGAGGGCGAGGCATGTCACAATCAAGCGGCATTACCGCTCCGCGCGTAGCCATGAAGAGGTTCGAGCCAAGGGACGCCTACGTAGCTCCCACGTCGGAACTCTCGGATCTGGCTTCGTTCCTGAAGAACTCGACGCCGCCGCCTAGCATGGGGGCTGCGGCGCCGTTCGACTTTGGCGGGCCGCCGCCGCCTACTGCCAGTGCCACGGGTTCGAGAGGGGGGGATGGGGCCGGGGACTCGAACAGTTTCTCAAGGGTGTTTTCGAGGAGGAGTAGGAAGGCTAGCATTGTTTGAGCGACATCTACTACCCGTTTTTTTTTTCTGTTTTTCCTAACTGCATACACTCTACATCCCTTCTACCAGTGTCTCTTCTGGCATAATTGGGCTGCGCATCGCATCATCACATAATCTAGGCAGATTTTCTTTTCTCATTATTGATACCATAACAGACGGAGGGTTACCTTTGCCGATCGGTTCTTTTACTCGTTTTGTATCCATGGTCACAAAGCGTGGGGTTGGGAAAATCATGGCATATGGGTAGTGTCTTGTCTCTTGCTCCTTTTTCTTTCTTCTTCACTTGTTGAATACTGTCTTGGATATAGGGTTGGTGGATGCGTTGGATGACTTGTACCTGAAGGTCATGAAGAAGTACAGAAGGAAGGCGAGAAAGAAATGAAGAAGAACGACGAACGTTTGATGCGCTGCTCTTGCACTATTCATTGGTTCGTCTTCGTGTCCAGATGTACTGCGTGATGCGTGAAAATCCATCTTGGTGACCCTGCTATCGGACTCCGGTTAAACGGCGTACCATACCTATCTCACGTCAACTGTATCCCTCCCTTCTTTCTCTCCCCCCCTCGATCAGTGGTTAATCACGGATTCAGAAGGTGATACCAAATTGACCACATGTGGTTTTGATGGTTACAGAGAGCTGACCACCATGTCATACCCGTTGCTATGACAAACATGGCACTTTTGCAGCTGCTTCTTCTCATCGATGAGATGATTGTGTGGAATGAGAGTATGTAAGACGGAGAGGATTGGTGGACCATTGAAGATGTTGATGAACTGATCCAGACTGGCATCTACAAAGGCAAAGGCAGCTCCTCGCAACTCTTTGGCTCAGTTCTCGGTCTTCGTATTCAGAATCCGAATTCCCCATAAGAAGCGGAAGGATAGGGTGCAAACTCAAAAGTGAGTGGGAGGGCATTTCGAAATCTCCGTCAGTTGTACTCCGTGATCTTCGAACATTACCTCGTACGGAGTACATGTGGATTTCCGTGAAGGGGTCGGTACTAACTATGTACTAACGATGAACTACAAGCGGTAAACTCTCCACCAACGAACGAAGCCCGTCGTCGTCGTTGTCGTCGTTTATTTGTAGCTGAGAGCACTATTTACTATTTAGCGCACCGTCCAATAGTGTTACGAACTATCTGAATGGTACGTGCCTGAAACCTAGGCCAGCTGGGTACGACCCGCTTACAGTTTTACAAACTAGTCTCGGCAAGGTCTCCCCGAACCAAACATGTAGCAAGCATGACTTGCGGAATGCGAAGTACATATGTAGGCAATCTTCGGACCTTCTAGAAATAGAACATCAATGAGCGGAGGAAAAGGATCTGGATTCACTCGATCAAGTCAGGTCATTTTCCTGCACGCTTGCGCTTGACGCACGCTTGGTGCCTGTCCTGTCGGTCGGTTGGCCCTGTCAACAACTCTGTCACACCATGTGGTTTTCTCGGCACGGTCGGGTACGGAGCCTAATGAGGCAGTCGGTTGCGATGTTACAGCGGGAATAATGGCGTGGTTTGATAAAGGCTGTCGGGGGAGAGATAGGACAGTGTTAAAACCCCAAACTAGTGTCGTTTGGGTGAAGATGCTTAAATAGTTCCGAGAACCGGAGGAGGTCTTCACACGGTTCTGTGACGATTCTCGAAAGAATTCCCAAGAAAGAGGTTTTCCCGCGAGTCTCCCGGAGTTCGTGCTTTCATCGGAAGTAGTGCCAAGTGGAACCGAGGATCTGGATACGCTAGTGTAAAGAGCGCGGGTTGTAGCAATGGTAGTGGTAGTGGTAGTGGTGGTGGTGGTGGTGATGGTTGACGATATCCCTCTTCAGCCCACAGTCATTTGCAGGACCATCCTGCCCGTGCGCTTTTCTTCTTCTTGTAATCGTACCACATTGATCTTTAGGCTTCACAGGAGATGGGAAAATCGACCACAGTTCAGCTTCTTAGGCTTCCAAAGAGGCGTCGTTCGCTTCGCGCTAAAACTGTCCCGTCGCTGCAAGTTCTACAGTGTCGGAAGCATCTACTATATAAGCGAGAGACGCCCAACGATCACGGGATCCTGGAAGGTTTGGAAAATTCGCAAGGTGGGCGCTCTAGAACAAAAGGGAAACGAACCATCAGGCCATTTCGACTATCAAACTGTCAATTAAGAGGCTTGCTTTTGCCAGTCAACTGGGACCCAAGGCGGAAGGTTTATGTACCTCAGAAAAAGCGATTGGTAGATGGGTTCCCATAGGGGGACTGAAACGTGCTCGCCACCATCCTGTCCCATCCATCCTCCCGGGTCGTTGTGGTCGACTGCTACGCTGGTGAGGACAACTTTCGCGGCTGGCTGGAGCAAGGGCAAGCTCCTTGCATAGTGGTTAACAGCACACAGTGAATATTCATATAACCGACTTCGTTCTCGGAACCAAAGGCAGCGTACAGTATGAGTTCCCTTGAGCTTGAAGTCCGGCCGCATCGCGTCGTGACATGCATCATGTAAAGGCAGGTCAGCTGCAGACTTGCAGTGGACATCAAACGCGGGCCAGGAGCATTATGCGCTAGGTTGGGGGAGAAGGAAAGATACCGGTACAGGTACCTTACGAGCGTCGGTACTCGGAACCTTGATGTCGGGGTCCACTCCTTCGCCCCGTTCGGTTCTTCGGTTCCGTTGCTAACAATTATCGCTGACGGGTTGAGCTTCCAACTCGCTGTAAGCCACTGTCACTAACATCACCACCATGCCATGGCAACGGAGACACACCTAGGTAAGCTCCGAAACCTCACAGACTTACAATGTGATATTAAGTACGGGAACCAAACAAAATTGATTTTAGACTTTGTCGCAAACATGACTTGCCGCAATATGTGTGTATTCAGACTTGGTCGTCTCTATCCAAGGCAGTCACGATGACGGGATGCACCACTGTACCTATCACCTGCCATACCCCACTGTAGCTACCCGCTAACAACTCACCGTCATCTGAACTTCAACGTCACCTCAACCACCCGCCTCACTTCACGAAACAAAGACGAGGAAGAAGCAAAGAAACAGGAATACCATCACTACAGCCATCGATAACCAACTTGCTTCTGACCGGCTGGACTTTACTGTATGAAACAGTAACAGCCCCCGCCAATCTCGTTGATCAGCAAACCTCCTCCCTGCAAAAGCAAGGCCCCAAACATCGCGACCCTCGCCGCCACCGCAGCCAAGACAAGAGGACATCGCACATCCCACTCCGTGCCACCCACCTGTCCACCGGTCCGGCAGCTGTCAACCGGTCAGGTCAGGTTAGCCTCAGCCCAGCAGTAGACTCGGCCGGTCCCTGAGGTAGCTAGCCTGCACGGTGGGCATGGCGTCCCCCAACCCCTACTCCTATTCCCCACAGCTTCCGCAACGGGAAGAGTCCCCCTACCAAGAAGACCAGTACCAATCATCTCCTTCGTTCCGCTCTACTCCGTTCCGATCCTCACGAGGGACCGGAGCCGGAGCCGGAATCGGTCTCGGCTTGAGTTCGGGCTTCATTTCGAGTCTCCGGGGTGGAGCCGGAGGGCCAGCCGAACCAAGATCCGGAGACGGCAGCCACGATGACCTCCCCCAAAGATCATCATCATCATCCACCGTAATCCCCTCCCTACCCCCCAAACCAAAACCAACCTCCATCCCCGAAACCCTCTGGTCCTTACAAATCCCTCTCCACATCACACACCAGTCACATCCCAAGACGCCCTACATCTGCTCGGTGCCGCGCTTCAGCTACCTCGCTTTGCTGCTGCCACGGTTGACCGCCTACTACGGTACTCCGTGCTCGAGTTTCCACCATGAGGAAGTCCATCTCCGTAACTTTGCGGTCGGGTTACTGGTGGATCTATACCAGCCGAGTGAGCTGCCATGGAGGTTGACGGTTGCTGATGGGATGGAGTGGGATATTTGTGACACCTTTATGAATAGTGCCAAGGAGGTGAGTTTGTTTGGTTCTTTGTGAAAAGTAAAAACTTTATAGGGATATGGCCGGTGTTGACAAGAATGTTTATGCTTAGGCGGATTTCATCCGAAATGGAAATGCAAAACGGATCATGGGCCTGAGTAAGGAGCATACCACAGCGTTATGGAATGCTGTGCAGGATAGTATGTTTACTCCTCCTCCTCCCCCCCTCCTTCTTTTTTTTTCTGCTCTTCCTCCCAAGAGGGAGGAGGAAATACTAACTTACGGAACTAGATGACTACCAAGCCTTCACAAAAGTCAACACCCACCTGCTCAACGCTCCCATAGCCCTCAAAAACGTTCCCATACGGATCTACATCCCTTCCTCACCACCACCACCTTCACCAGACCAGCAACAACCCCAAAGACCCGGCGGCTCCAGCTCCTCCGGCTCTTACCGCGTGATGCAAACCCTCGTTCCTCCACGGGGTTCAAACAACCGTAGGTTTTTCGCGATTTCCGCCCCTATTCGACGTGCTTTGATCCACCCCCGACTAACTCCCGAAATCGAAACACAGGAACACCCCAAACCCTAGGACAAGCCCTCAAGTCCCTGCTCCCTGCCCTCTTCCCTAGCAGCCGGGACCCCGTCCTAGCAAATGTCATTTTGCACGGAGCTCCCGTGCCTTTTAGTGCGCCGCTCGAGGAGTTGATGAGGGACGCGGCGTATCCGGATGGGTGGCTTTGTTTGATTGTTGTTTTGTTGTGAGCATGTGAGCAGAGGTTACTATGAGAGAGAGGTGTTAATGGGTTATGAAGCTTGAAAAAAGAGGAACGAATAGATGGGGCAGAGAGATTGTGGGTAAGAAGGATGAATGGATGAGGTTATAAGTTGACTTGGTCATTGGCGTTTATGAAGTATCATTACGCACGGTATTATATCAATAGGTGATGCAAAAAAACCGTGATGGTATTTGATGAACACTAGGTAGCAATCATGATAGCATGGCATGGCATGGCATGGCACGCTTGATGCTTGCTTAGGGCATTAATGCAAATGGAACCCTTACGGTTGAGTTGAGTAGAGATGGGGGAATGACATCAACTACGTACAATAAGTCGCCCATCAACAATAGTAATAACACCCAGATTATGCAGTGGTATAATTAATCCAAGTTAGTTTTGATTGTTGGCTGGTATTGTGATTTCCTCCTCCCGATGCTACCTAGTATTCCCATGTTCCTTCGCGCACGCCACCAGTTATTTTGACACTGTTCAACAGGATGGATAATAAATACAAGAAAAGAAAAAGAAGGAAAGTAAAAAGTACGGTACATAATTGTAAGTAGGTAAATAGACAAGTCGGGAAAAAAAAAAACCAAATTCTTGACAGATACACACGATAATAAGTACCTAAAAAAAAAAAAAAAAAAAAAAAAATGCAGACATGCAGCGTACAAACATTTCACACATACAGGTAGAAGATAGATGGACAAGACAGACAAAGTGGTATATCCTCCGTGGACCCCCATTTTTTGTGCTCCCCCTCCTCTCCCTTGATAACGATACCTATGCAGATGCTAGAGACAGGTCGGTTGATGTTGTTTGTTGTTGTGGGTGTTTTATAATGTGAGCAATGTGTGTGTGTTTGATTTGTTTGGCGGTTGTTGTTTGCGGTAGACGACAGAAGAGGGTCGGACCGGCTGTATGTAGTAGGGAGTGTTTGACGGGGTCGACGAGTAGTAGTTGTGCGTGGGTTGTTTCGGAAAACACTCTCTTTTGGTCGGTCGGTGTGAAGGAGTGAGTTGTCATAGAGACGATGTAATGTAGGAGGCGTTTGAGTTGAAAGGTATGTAGTAAGATGTCAAGACTGAGTGACATTGTTTGATTGGTATGGGTATCTGATGAGGATAGATGGGCGGTTGGTAGGTAGTAGGGATGTGAGGTTGACAGATAGGTAGGTAATTGACAACGCCAAAGCAGTGTGGTAGATATGCTCTTTCCTTCTCTCTCTCTCTCCTCCTCTCTCAAAATATGCTGATGCAAGTATGATTATGCAGCGCCCGTGTGTATACCATGGTGCATCCTGAGTATGAGTTGATGTGTATCCGCTTCGATATCCGAGGGAAAAGGACAGTGTCATGTCCACTTCATCCTACATGCTAACCAACATCGCCTAATAACCCTTCGATTGTTACGCTCACTCGCAAAGACCTCTATCCTTCTCTTTCTGTTCGTACATAAGTGAAATTATAACTTTCGGACCAAGCGTCGTAAAAGTCCTTCACAATATCCAAAATGCCAAAACACATATTGTGGTCGAGATGCAAAATCTCTCTCAAAGGGGATGTGTGTGTTGGTGTTGATGAATAGGAGGTAAAGGAGGCATCATGCCATCTGGACCCCCAGGGCCATGCATGTTATGCTGCATTGGCGGTATAGGACTCCTGGGCATCTGCGGTGATGGCCCTGGTGGCCCTAGTGGTGGTGCAGAGTGTGTTGCCGGCCTTGGACCTGAGGGCGGCGGCGGCGGGCCTGGAATTGGTGTGCTCACAAAGGAAGTAACATGGTGGTTATTACCCATCAACATGTCCACACTGTTCGGCTTGTGCCACAACTCGCGCTCCAAGCCCTCGAGAATGCGCATGTCAACGGCCAGTGCGCTAGTTGGTTGGGCGATGATCCGGAAAAAGGCTATGGTCCTCGAGAAGAGCTCCTTAAGTGTCTGCTCGTCAACATGAGGGTGAAGTGTCGGATCCCTGAACACAGCTGCAAGTGTGAGAAGGTTGCCCCATTGACTGCGAATTGAATGTCAGTACTGCATATATCATTGAATTGCTTAAGAAGAGGTACTTACGCATGTGCAGTGCCAAAAATATTAGTGACAACAAACCGCTTATCTGGCAAACCATGAAACGCCCTTGTGCTTTCAATAAGAGCCCGGATTCCCTTCTTTGCATATTCAATAGTATCCTGAGTAATCTCGCCATTTACGCTGTGCATCTGGGTATCGAGAGGAGTCATGGCTTCGCTGGGAGTGCTGGCTGGCATCGGGGATTCGGCTGTCGCCATCTGAGCCATATTCGACTCCAGAATCTGTCGGATGTACGGCCTGTAAGTGATAACTTGGGCTCCCCAGTATTTGGCACGCAATCGGGCGGAAAGAAGGTCTCCAGCTGGCGGATCTTCGTGCGTGAACTTGTACTCGGGAGGGACGAAGCGTAGATCGAGAGATTTCGTGATGACCTCAATGATATTTCCGGGTGGGGTGCCGTTCTGCGCCCGTAGCGATCGCGGATCCTCGGGGTTATAAAGCATTTGATGAATTTGATTCAACGACTTCCGGAGGTATAGTTGTGCAAGGTAGCTTTGCAAGACATGCTCCTCAAAGCCGTGGGTCTTGGCCAGGTTGATGTTGGGATATGGCATAATTTCCTCAAACGCAAGGATGTGCGATTGCGGGAGAGGAAGCTCGGCCACGATGTCACTATAGTGTACGTGTTAGCCTATTCCCCTTCATCAAATCCTCACGATGTTTGCCTACCTCTCAAGCTGCAGACACGTCCAAAAGGCAAAGACGATCTGGTTATCCGACTTCTCTTTAACAGCATTGATATTGAACGGATGGTTTTCTTGAAGTTTTTTCAGCCGATCCAAACTCCTGTACTCGGGTTAGCACTCAGTCAAGAAAGAGAAGCAGAAGTTGACTTACGGTCTCATCTTAATCTGCAGAGCCCAACCAGCCTCCTTGATATAGGCATAGCTCTCCATGACTCTTCCCAACTGCCCATGATACAGACCTGCCAAGATGTATGCGTGAATGTGCCGCAAGCTCGTTCCCGCCAGCTGTCCTCCCAAGATATCTGTCGCGTATGCGAAATAGTCCAGGCCGGGAATCACATCCATGTTCCGTTTGAGCGATCCTACCCTCATAGCAGGCGCGCCGCCTCCCTGGAACGACTGCCGCCTACTAGGACCTGACCTATCTGCGCTATCCTTGGGCGAAGGCAAACCCGCCGAGTGCGATTGTGAACTATACGACGGCGGAGATCCATGTATAGGAGAGGCAGGATAGCCGTTACGTACCATTGGCGACCCATGCGAAGGCTCGCTCACAGGCACGACATCCGGGAGCTTTCTATCCTTGATTAGGCAAATCTTGCCCAGCGCGAGAACCAGCAACACAAGCGCGTTGTTGATGGATCGCTGAAATGTCGGCTTGCCCGACCTGGGTAGCATCGTTGGCGAGTCTGCGCCGTCGGGTACGGGGGAGCGCTTCCTCTTGGCCCCTGTCTCGCCCTGCACGCTCAGCGGGGGCGCTCCAACGAACTTTGCGATTCCAGCACTACCCTTGGGCTTCTTGGTACTTTGCTGAATACCATCCAAAAACAACCGCACCATCGCATGCAGCTCTCTCGGTATTATGAGCGGATGCATATTTTGAATGTTGTCCAGATAGCTCTGCACGTACTTCCAGACGGTTTCCTCCGAAAAGTCCAAGGTTTGGACTCCGACCATGGTAGACCTGTGGTCCATCGGCCCAGGCGAGCCGCTAATTCCACCCCAACAATCCGCAGGCGAAGGCGCTCCCGTTTCCGAGTAGTCATCAATAACTTCCATCATACCCAGGTTGTGGTTGGACTCTCTGTCCATGCGGCTGCTGTCGAGGCCTTCTCCTCTGCCCCATAACCTAAGAAGTCCCCGCCTCTCTTCCTGTCGGATGGGATATTCTTCGACAAACTTGATGTTTTCGGCATCCAAAAAACGTTGCGCTAGGCGCTTTATCGACTTCCACTTGAGCAGAAGGGCAGCTAGCGTCGTATGATTTAGCGGAATGGCGGGCGCTCCAGGTCGTACAAATGGGCCAGGCTCTTGTTCCCTCTCTTCGTCCATAATTTTCGTGATGTTGCGCGCTTCCTGTGTATCTATAGGAGCCTGCGTCCTTGCTGCGTTTTCCGAGCCTCCTGGCGACGACGAGTTGTAGCCATCTTCAATGACTGCTGAGTCAGCAGAGGCCGGACGATCATCATCCGACGACATCATCTCCGGATGCGCTTCCAACGGCGGCGCAACGCGTTCCAACCTCTTCTCGAGTCTCGTGATGCGATGGTTGAACATGCTGAACTCGTTCCTCAGACCCATGAGGTTCTCCAAGATATCGGCCGCGACTTTGTCTTGTCTATATTGTTTGGTCAGCAATGCAACAACCACCCGACAGCCGGTATACAGGTGCTTACTGCTTTGGCACCGCCTCACGGTATTTGCATTCGACCTTCTTTTCCTTACAGCTTTTACAGGGTTTAAGCTCGTCACATTTAGCCTTCAGCTGCCGGCACATATCACAGGCCTATGGGGGAAGTTAGCCTTTTACGTCCATGTCGCAACTCTTGCTGAATCGCAAGTTGCGTGTATATCCTGAAGCCAGAACCCAAACCAACCTGCGATGCTCGCTGCGCCTTGCGCTTTCCTGCCGCTGGGGCAATTTGGATATAGGGAAGGTCGCCATGATGTCCATAGTGAGGGGGGTAGTCGTATGGCTGGCCATGCGCCATGGGCGTTTGAGGGGGGAAACTCGGTTGTCTGTACATATTTTGTTGCGGACCATTGTCATAGCTCATATGGCGTTTGTCGTCAGGGTATCCTTGGTGAGGCAGAGCTGACATCGGGGTCCCTGGTGTCATGCCGTCGGGAGCATGGCCCGTCGAGTTGGGCCTCCGTAGGTGTGGTGGTGTGTTGCTGTCGTCGGCCGGGTCCTGCTTCACCACAACTTCTCTCGGAGGAGGATGGTAGCCAGGGTTGTACTGGTGGTGTGCTGGCGGTGGCTGAGATGAAGGATGGTGTTGTCGGTGGTCTTGCATAGGTGGATATCGGTCGGGCTCATGATGTCGCCGGTCGTCGACGGGGCCTTGCTGCGACGGAGCCGGAGGTGGCGGCGGCGGCGGCGGCGGGTGGGGATGCGAGACAGCAGGCGCGGCGCCGGGATCACCAGGACCTTGG